GCGCAGCCCAGCCAGGACTTTGGGTGGCGGCATGAGTACGACGACCAACCTCCTGTGGCAGCTGTGGAGACCCCCGTGAGGCCTGTCCTTGGCGTCCTCTCGGGAAGCGTCGGGCTGGGCCACGCGTGGAGTTGAACACGTGATTGCGACACTGTTTACGTAAACCAGTTCTAATCCTAACCAGAGCGAGAAGGCGAGACAGAGGCAGGAGGCTGCTGGTCAGTGCTGGGGGCCTGGGGGCCTCACAGTCCTGCCCACGGCGAGGAAGGGAGGGCCCGAGGCCTGTCCTTGGCGTCCTCTCGGGAAGCGTCGGGCTGGGCCACGCGTGGAGTTGAACACGTGATTGCGACACTGTTTACGTAAACCAGTTCTAATCCTAACCAGAGCGAGAAGGCGAGACAGAGGCAGGAGGCTGCTGGTCAGTGCTGGGGGCCTGGGGGCCTCACAGTCCTGCCCACGGCGAGGAAGGGAGGGCCCGGGCACACCCCTGTATTTATACTTAATTTATGCGGCGAGCACCGCCGTGCACGAGCCAGGGCTGTAAATACTGGGCTGTGGGTAAAGGAAACGAGCCTGTTCCTGATCTTCCACGCCGGAGTCCGAGTCGTCATTCCCCGTGCGTTGACATGAAGTACTGGCTGCCGGGATCTTCCAAACCGTTCGGAATTGTTCCGCGTCTCTTCTAAAAATAGGCTGAATTTTTGGTGGCCAAGCAACAGAATGTCATTGTGTCTCAGGGTGGGGCTTTATGATCTTTTGAATGAAAGCTTCGGCCAGGAGGAGGGCACTGAGGGGCTGGGTCACCTGAAGCTGCTTGCACCCCGTCAGGGTGCGCCATCCTCTCCATAGCTGAGTCCGATCCAGAGGGAACCCAGCATCTCAGAAGCTGAATTTGGCTTATCGGGGCTCCTGGGGCCCTGTCATTTTAGCTGGTATATCTTTTTTCTGTAGAGGTTTTTGCTATAGAACGTGTGCGCTTGCCAGAAAGAGACAAAGCGAGAAATCACCCCCCGGGGAGGTGGCCACGCCGCAATCCCTTTTCCAGTCTCCTCTCGGGATCTTGGGCACGCACACACATGCGCCCGGTGTGAGTTTAAGCCACCGGGTCCGGGACTCAGACTGTGGTCGACTACGTGGGAGTCAGCGACATAGCCATGACGCCAGCTGCTGGTCCCCTCGCTGGTACCTTGACTGAAATCTGTAAAACCTCAGGCACACCTCTGTTGTCTGTCCCTGGATTCCCAGGGAGCTGCCTGTGTAGGATCGGGGTGGGGTGGGGTGGGGAGGGACTGGGCACGTGGCGGTCAGAACAGGCTGGTCGGGCTGTGGCCGTGCGGGCCACCCTAGCAGCGCTCCTTCCTTGCTGACAGCCTTTCTCCCTTGTGGCCTTGGTGAGGTGGCTGCCGTGGCTCAGGTGGCCCCTTAGACATGACCACGTCTGTGAGCTGTGCGTGTAGGTGGCTCTCTCCCTTTAAGATAAAGGGAACTTTCTCAGAAGCCCTGGTCAGCTACAGGCCCCCTGGGGGGGGGGGGGGG